ACCGGGGTAATATCTGGTGCTATCACGTGGACGCCGTAAATAAGACCGATGGAGACGTTCGCGTCCGATATGAGCCATTGTCTGACATCGCGGGCCACCGACCGTGTCGTGTGAACAACAAGAAAAGGGGGGAAAAGGGGGGCCGATGTTAGGCGAGTGAGTGCCCGACCATTGGAGTGGGTGTGGAGGGAGTTGCGGGCTTTAGTGCACACAATGGTTAAATCTGAGGTGAACGTACGTGTCAATGGGTATGCCGTTTAGTATTGTATTTGTATTCATACATATAGTGTTTGGTGTGAAAATAGGGCTATAACTGCGAGTACTACTGCACCCAATGGAAGTACGGCATCGGGTGGTCGACACCAGTGGAGAAGTCCGAGGGTCCTGTAGTCGCGCCCACCCCTGCTTTGGCGGCACTCAATAGGGACCGTGGAAGTGAGCCGTCCTGGCACCCTCCCTCATGGCACCCTCCGTCTACCATTTGACCAAACAATTATTAGCTTATTATTAATATATATGGTGATATAATTACTATTAAAAATGAATAGATAAATAGAAATCTAAATTTAAATAATTGTATTATTCTCAATTTATTATAAGTGTTTATAAATTAAATTAATTTAACAGTGAATGTAAATTATATGAGTGTGAATTAAAACTCGATATCAATTGTATATAAAATTTACATACAGTTCTGTACATTGTATGCCATTTATTTTGTTTACGAATAATTTATAAATAAATTAAGGATTTAGAGCAATATTAATTTTTATTATTTTTATAATGCGGTACAGTGTGGTATAAACTCATATTATTTTGGAATAATACTTTATAACTAAATTTTTCATAAAAATCAGATGAGCGAGATATATTTGATGAATTTTTAAAATAATCCGGATAAAATTCATCTAGGAACACTGGAATCAAAACTACTTTGTGAACGGTACTTATGCCTTAAATACACCGGTGATATTTGTGCACAGTTTACTTTATCTAAAATTAAAAATTTTACGATACATCGCATGTGAATATATTCAAAGTATTCGTCAATTGTTTTATTTTTATAAACAGAATATTCTTTATTCACGCAAACAGTGGCCGAAAGGTTTAGACTATAATCACGAGAATTGCGGTCAAACTTCAAGTCAGTGTTCACTTCGTACTCCAAATAATTGACTGTTTGGTCATATATTTGGTACACAAACCCTGTTATCATTAATAGCTTAAATAACAGTGTAATATTAAAATAATATTTTTTATGTAAATACATATTAAAACAAATATAAAAACTTTTTTAGGTTTAATGAGACTTTCCACTATAATTTTAATACTACAACAATAATGTTTTCATACTCTGTATGTATATAATTGAAAATTAATTACAATATTGCAAACATTTTCCGAGTACTAGTATTATTAATAATTAATATTATGTATAGCATTAAGGTTATTTCTACTTTATTATTTATAAAAATGACAAAAAACAATATAAATATTGAGAACTAACAACTCGCTTATTATAAAATTATTAATAATAATAATAAATGATTTATTTATATGTTTGAAAATAATACAATATAATTAACCGTATATACTTATAGGTTATAAATTAATTAAAATGACAAATAATTAATTCAGTGATATTCACGTTGGTACACGTTTCAAATGTTTTCATTATAACTTGCATTTGATCTATAATTTTGTTTTTTATTGCCTTAATGTATAAAATAAAGTGAAATTTTTCGCACAATTAGGGCATAATAAGAATTAATCACAACCAATACACTGACAAATATTATATGAGCTTATCTTTTCTTCTTGAAAGCGTTTGCTGTTTACGACTAAATAATAAAATTTTTTGCATTAAAATTCATAAACTTTATACACTAAAGATTTTAATATTAAAAGATAAGCTTTAAGACATCACAGACGTGTTATCCATAGGGAACGGGAGATCCGAATTAGTCTTGCAAAAATGATAACATTTCTAGGCCTGCCCTGCATCTGCAGAGCCTTCAGGCTTGCCTGCTTGAAGCCTGCCTGCAACTTTTAAACTAGACCTGCGCCTGCATTGGGCCCAATATAGGCTTATTCCACAATTTTCCACTTTACTCCCCCTTTGTAATAATCCCTTTAATCGTTTAATCCCTAGTCCTTAAGATTTCATTCAGTGGTCATTGACCACTAAAGAGGAATTAACCGGACTTTAATTCTTTTATTGGCGGACATTATTTTATTTGCAGGCTTTGCAGGCCCGTACAGGAGCTTGCATTATTTCAAACTAATGCCTGCGCCTGACTGCAACCTGCACTTATGGAGGCCTGCCTTGGGCCTGTGGGCACAGGTGCAGGTGCCTGTTTGCAAGACTAATCCGAATGAATGCGAGAACGAGAAAGTGAGTGAATGAGAGAATGAATGAATGAACGAAAGAGAGAGAGAGAGAGGGAGGGAGAGGGAGAGAGAGATTCCATTAAATTTATTTACGTCAGACGTCATTCAGAGGTATGGTATGGCTGGAATTCATCATATTGTGACCAGATTCATTATTTATTATATTTTAAATATATATCACAAATATTTAAAAATTTTAAAACTGACCAAACACGGTATTTAGTAGTAAATAAATAGGTTTAGTGTGTATATTATGATTATGAATTTATTTGTTATATTATCATATCTAATATTTATCATTGGATTAATTACTGGGAATTTCAATCTGAGCAAAGTACAAATTTATAAACTAACACTTATTTTTCGTAATAAGCAGACAAAATAAGTAAAAAACCATTTTTCAATGTGATATTTAGTTAGAAATATTACTGTCTTATTTTAAATTAAAAACTGGTAATATACTGTAGTATACCTATAATTTCATAGTTATTATTTTATAATTTTGTGCTTATATTTTATGTAGAAATTTTAAATATAAAATATAAGCCTATATAAACACAAAATTCTACAATAATTATCATATTGTTATATTGTGCGATAAAACTAAAGTTAGCGTAAACATAATTGTAATCTAAAGTATATAATATTTATTGCCCAGATTAAATCGCTTGGTATCTATGGTTCAGTAAACACTATAATACGCTTGAAATGTTTATCACAACTGCGTTTTATTAATTTTTTTATTAAAAATTTATATTTTTTATAAAACTAATTAAATTTGTGTTGTTTTAAATTATTGTATTTCTAATTGACCACTGAATGAAATCGTAAGGACTAGGGATTAAACGATTAAAGGGATTATTACAAAGGGGGAGTAAAGTGGAAAATTGTGGAATAAGCCTATATTGGGCCCAATGCAGGAGCAGGTCTAGTTTAAAAGTTGCAGGCAGGCTTCAAGCAGGCAAGCTTGAAGGCTTTGAAGATGCAGGGCAGGCCTAGAAATGTTATCATTTTTGCAAGACTAATTCGGATCTCCCGTTCCCTATGGATAACACGTCTGTTATGTCTTGAAGCTTATTTTTCTTCACGCAAGCGTTTGCTCCTTCTGACTAAATATTAAAATCTTTAGTGTATAAAGTCTATGAATTTAAGTGCAAAAAATTTTAATATTTAGTCGTAAACAGCAAACGCTTTCAAGAAGAAAAGATAAGCTCATATAATATTTGTCAGTGTATTGGTTGTGATCAGGAAGGTAGCCCTCCCGTTTACAAATAATTTCAAAAAAGCCAATTATACAGTTTAATGACCTTTTTGGACACACGAATTTAGTAGGTATACCGCCCATTTAGAATCAAATTTCAAATAAAGGTCAAATAAATGACCCAAACTTTTGAAATTGTTTTATAATAAAAATGCAATATTATAATTGGTAAAGCTTTACTCTCAAAAATTTATATAAAAAATTGATTAGATTAAGTTAAGGGTTTGAAAAATTTTAATCATAATATATTGAATTGAGGTAAATTAAATATTTTTTATTAATCCTTTAAAGGTTAAAGATAAAAAGTGTAATATTAAAATATGATAATTAAAGTTCAATCATATAGACCAAAACAGAAATTATATATATATTTAAACAATTTTTATCATAGTTTTAAATGTCAAAAATAAGTTTATTATCAGTAATAATTAATATATTGACTTGACGCAAATTAAATAAAATATTACGTAAAGAATGTAATGATAATAAATAAAGTTCAATCATGTATACCAATAGAGAAATGATATATATGTTGATTTTGTGTTTGTTTATAATGCAATGAAATATAATTAGTGATAAATAACCTTAATTCACACAAAATTATTAAATAAAAAAAGTAATTAAAAAATAAGGTGCGAGTATTTTTCTTTCTGTCTATCTATGGAAACGACTCAATCACAGAGTGGTAAATACGAGCCAAATGTTGGCTCATTTATTACATACGATGAGATCAGACAAGTGATTAAACGGGGAGATCTCATCGAAATCTGGCGCTCTCTCATCGAAAGCCTGCGCCCGGGTTATAAGCATTGGGTGATATGCGAGTCCATCGATGACCAGGGTGTTATCTGGTGCTATCACGTGACGTCTCTCACCAAAACGGACTTGTTAAAGGTGTACGTGAAATATGAACCACTCATTGATATACTGGCTAAAAAGGACAGGACTAAAGGGTGGGACGTGTGTCGGATCAACAATCAGGAACAGGAGGCCCACAAGACTGGACTTATAGCCCGACCACTGGATCAGGTGTTTGAGGAGTTACGGACATTAGTGGACCAAAAAGTGGAGTACGATTTCAATGTAAATAAAATTTAATTGAAATGGCTCGTTTAACTAGTAGATAAACACATTAGAACTCAAAACTGGTGTCGGTTTTTGGCTTATATCTCTTGAACGAGGATTTGGATTTCAGATCTGAATTTAATTTGAGAAACTAGGATAAATGAACAATTATTTTTGTATATAAAATTATATTTTTAACTTACCCAGTTATAACGATATTCAATGTTGACTATTGACAAGAATATGTTATGAATCAGAAAATACATGGGCGTTTGGTGCCATTTTTAGTAATTTAGTTTTAATTTGAAAATATTAAAAGTAGCTTAAGTATTATACTTTTTGTATCTGAAGTCAGATCTGAAATCTAATTACGTGTTCAAGAGATATAAGCCGAAAACCGACACAAGTTGTGATTGCTCGTATATATATTCATAATAATATTAATACAAATAACAAGGTAGTATATTATAAATTTATAAAAATTTTATTATTTGTGATGTGAATTTAGCGCCGCAACTGCGAGTACTACTGCATGTTATGGAGGTACGGGAAGGGGTGGTCCACACAAGTGGAGGTAATCGAAAGCAAAGTATTAGAACCCGCCGCTAAGATTGGTTTATGGGTCGCCGGTGTGGGTATGTTGATATCGCCCTACATACTTATAGGAGGGATTGCTTTTTTGACGCCGATCATGCTCTACGAAGAAAATAAAAGTAAATTTCTATTTAAACCTATATTTGAACGTGTAGCCTATGGACTCGGTCTGAGACCTAAAAGGCCTAAAGCCTAAAAGGTTTAAACCACAAAAGGCCTAAACTTGAATAACTAACTGACCAATGGACATTTGACTTAATTTAGGTTAGGATAGGTTGGGTTAGGTTGACGCGTTTATTCCACCAATCAAATTAAAAATATATCCACTGGTCAGTTAGTTATTTGTGCTTAATCCTTATCGGTTTAGGCCTTTTGGGGTAGAAGGCCTTCCCTATATTATGGCAAACCCTATCGGTATTACTAAGTAATCGATGATTAATTTAGTGATTCAAACTATTTGTGTGTTGAATACCATATATTCAAGCATATATTATAGTATTAAAATTAGTTTTAAATTCATACCGAGGTTGTCATTATAAAAACTTGTAATGAAATATAATCAAATATTCAATGTATATTATTTAATAATAATTGTTCAATAAAAATACTATTTATTGTAACTACTTAAGTCAAAAAAATTATTTAAAATTATAATGCGCATAACCAGACAAATTACAAAGTTTATAACTTATCAATGATAAATAAAACTATTCACCGAATTAACTAAACTCTATACCAGTATACACTGTAAATAATATAATATACAACAAATATGATATGCACATACATTTACAGAAAGGAGGATGCCTCCGTGTCTATGGGTTAATTGACCAGCTCTCCCGGTTAATTTTATTAGCTAATCTTGTAGAGGACATTAAAATATATAATATATGTAAAAATAAGCTACTTTCATGGAAAGGTTTAGCCGCTAGGGGGATTTAAAATACTTAAATTAGGTGCTTTATTTTGCTAAATCTTAACAGATTTTAACAAATGAATATTTTTCTGACTAATTCGAACATGAGGAATTCAACTAAATTATTATTTATTTAATTAAATTAAATAATAATGCTAAATTTTACAAAATTGTATTTAAATGACGTATTCTTGGTAAAATTGACGTTATTATTGTAAGATGTGTTGATTAGAGGGAAGATACAGTCTCGATACAACAGTTCAGGACAATATTTTGTTTATATTCTTAATTTAGATGAACTGGGTGTCGATTCTGTATCTTCCTATACCTGCTCTTGTCCCCAAGGCCTCAGAACTGTCGGATGTTGTGCGCACGGTGCGACAGTTCTGTGGTATCTCGGGTATGCAAGACATCTACCCGAGATTTCAATTCCCGCAGAATATCTAAATGATGTCTGCGTGGAATTGGAGGGACAAGGGTAGGTATTTCGTCGGTGGCATTTGGTGGAGGAGGTCGGTTTCTGGGGTTGTTTTTGATGTGGAGGTCGGATTGGGGATGGGGGTTTAAAATATTTAAAAGAAAAATCGATTTGTTACATTTTTTGTAACAAATTCGACATTACTTGCAGTATTCCTAGAGTTTATAGAATTTTTACATACACCATCGTATTCTCTGTTAAAATCTATATTGAATTGATATATCACATGGGCATATTTATTATAAAAACTTTCCCGATTCAAGTGGTCACTGCGGGCGAACCCGAGGTCATAGGACATTATAAATTGCATAATCGGACTCCTCGCCCAAAGTTCTATAAGAATTGATAATAATAACCGTTTTAAAAACAGACCGACTATACGACAAATATATGGGTTAAGGCATATGCATCCTTCTTTAGGTTAAAATTAACACGATGCATACTAATCGTACATACCAGATTAATTCAATTTTTAGCTAAATAACTTCAGTTATCCGCCTTGTTTAATTATATTGTATGTTTGGTGCGATATACAGGGCCGCAACTGTGAGTTTTACTGCAATTTCTGGAAATACGGTACAGGATGGTCAGTGCAAGAGGAAATTGGGCGGAAATTGCCGGAAATAATCGTCAGCGGTGTCCTACTTGGTGTAACAGGACTGGGTATATTCGGTGGAGTAATGGCCGCATCTGCTAGCGCATACGTTATACTAGAAGGTAAAGAAATTAATTTCCGGACTGTACCTTGATCAGTAAAAATTCGTTTATTCAGTAACCAAAAAATTTAAAATTAATCTGCTTAAACCCCAACTATGGAATTTAACATTCTATAAGCTCCCGACGTGACAACTTGATTTGAGCACTGGTAGCTAAGCACAGGTTGTTTTTGTAAAATATGCTATAACTTTAAAACTATCAGGAATATTTTAACAAATGATACACAGTTCGAAAGAGCTTCAAAAAGTATGGATACCCGTGTCTCATGAAATTTCTCNTTTTTAGGTATAAATTACTTTTAAAATATATATTATACATCTGATATTATGTATGTTATCCCAACAGTTTAGAAAATGTGCAATAATTTAAAGGCTACATAATTTTATTAAGGACGTGTGCACGAAGTACGCAGGCAAAATTTTAGTCAAAAATTGACTCCCCTCCCCCTCCACGCCCATAGTGTATAGGAATTTAGGTGACATACGCTTTGGCATGACCCCCTTCCCCCGTATTAGTGCGTATGTAAATTTACTTTGTGTACGCCGCCTAATGAAAATTCATCAAGTCTATATGAGTAATAAAATAAATTTAAATTACAATTATAATTCAAAAACATAAATTTTTACAATATAATTTCTACTTATATACGTATATTCTATTAGTATTATCATAAAATCACATTTTTGTATATTACTTTTCTAGTACTATCCTACTGTATTAATATTATATTATATTTTTAATTACGCATGTGATTAATTCTAAAAGATCATTTATGTTTTAACAAAAATGAATTAATTATACAATTTTATAATTCATAAATAAATTAGGTTTGATTGTATTTTCTAAAAATATTTTTTTTACATTAAATACTGAAATATTAGTCGTACTACAGTACTTTGTAATGAAATGTAGCAAATTATTTTACCATTGAAATAAAATGTTATAAGATAATTAATGTTAAATTAGTTACAATAAAATCTCCGTTAATTTAATCATAATTAAAATAATTAATTATATATATTATAAACATAAAAATAGATATAAAAAGTAAAATATTCTAAATTAATTTACATTTTACATTAATGTACAGTAAGTAAATATATAATTTATATTTCTCATTTAACTAGAAATAAAATAACACTTACATTTATATTAGTAAAAATAATGATCTAGTATATTTATATTTAGAGTTAGCGTGTAGAAAGCTATGAAACGTGTAGAAACATTACATATCTAATTATTTATTTATTTATTAACTCATAAATAGTCAAAAATTACAGCTTTATAAACCGTACTAATTTCTCAATAAATTTTTATTAAAAAAATAATTTTCATTTCATATATGAATTGAAATGCAGATTATTCTCAATAACCCTTTCCAACAGCATACCAGTCCCACCACTTCACTGGAAAATAATTTTAAACAATTTCAATGTTTAATGTTAATTTGACTGAAATTTTACTTTTTAAAATAATATCATAAAATTAATTGTTATATACAGTGGAATTTCATTGATTATACCGGAAATTTGCACAATTAGTTTAATATGCTAAATTCTTAAAATACAAAATATTTTACATTGATATTTATTTACAAAATGCCCCAGTTTAATTATATTTAAAAATTACTTTTAAATTTATTAAATTATTTCAATCTTGTTCATATATTGTCACAGTATTTAGATCATTGTGGTTATGGTGTGACAAACTGGAAATGTATGATTAATATGTTTGGTATAATATATGTTTGCCAAAACATGTTCCACTATTATACACATAACATTGCTATAAACAATTCTATTATGCAAAACAAAATTCACATAAATTTATGTTAACGCATTTGAATGGTGTGATGCAAACGTAGCACTCGGTATCATATTAAACACCCGATAGGGTAGGACTCATATGGCGCCTCATAATTATATATTTATATGAGTCTTACGAGAAGCACGTACCGGTGCTCGGTATAGGGATATACAACTTAAAGGTAGTGCGAGTGAACCATACGCTTAATTATGCCATTGATCGACATATTCCGGCGAAACGTGGGCCCATTTGGCACTTACGACGACATCACACAAGTGGTCAAACGGGGGGATCTCATCGAGATCAAGCGCACGTTGATTAGGCATTGGGTGATATGCGAGTCCATCGATGAACAGGGTGTTGTCTGGTGCTATCACGTAACTCCCTTCCGACTTATGGCCAAAAAGAAAGTGTTTGTTAGGTATCAACCATTGAGTGACATATTGATGGACGACAGAGAGTCGAGCGCTACGGAGGGCGACCATCAGGGTATGGACTTGTGTCGCGTGAATAACCAGGAGAGACAGACGCGACAAAGGGGACGGACTGCCCGACCACTGGATCAAGTGTTTGCGGATTTGGAGGCATTGAAGGATAAGATATTGGAGTATGAGCTCAATGTAAGTCATATTTGATGATACTTAAATATGTGTAATATATTCGAAATAATATTATTCTTAATTCCAAATAAGAAATCTGCGAATTCTTTAAATATCTATATTATCTATAATTTTTAAAAATGTGTTTTATATTAGAAAATCAAACATAATAACTGAATACATAAGATATAATGTTTTTAATTTTAATGAGAAAACATATTTATGTGATTTCTTCCACTGATATATTAATGCCTATTAATGGGTTGTTTTGATGTATTGTAGAAAAATGACTTGATCATCTAACTTTTTCTATCATAGTTTAATTATACTGATATAATACATAAATACTGCATTTTTGCGTAGTAATTTCACGCACTCCAATGCAGTAAATTACATGCTTTTATAATTTAAGTCTTTCATCTAATGGTTATTTTATTATATTTTTTGTGCGATATTTAGGGCCGAAATTGTGAGTTTTACTGCACGCTATTGAAATATGGTTGGGGGTGGTCAAGACAAGTGAATAGTGCCATGGATACGGTGCAAGTAGCAGTGACGGCCCCCATGGCTATTGCCGCTCCAATTGCGGTGCTGGGCGGCGGTATATTTGCCGCCGTCGTGGTACCAACACTCGCCCTGACGGCTGGCACTATGCAGGCGGTGAATGTAGTGAGAAATCG